TTTTTTTTAAAATACAATATTTTTTTCCCTGTGATTTTTGTATTGTTTTATTTTTTTACCTTCATGTGGCTAGAATCTTGCCAGAGTCCTTTTTGGCCATCTTGTTTAACGGCGTCTCAGGGGCTATGTTGTAATCGTTGAACGCTTTCCATATACTGTCTGTTGACTATGACGATTGATTGATCGACCCGGCCCACTTCGCAGCTCCAGACTTTCCTTCCTTTCAGGCTTCTTTAATTTTTGTTAGCCCTCGATGGCCAATCCCCGTTTCTGTGCCGAACCTGGATTCCGGGAGACCCAGCGGTTTGGAACAGATCAGCCCCCTTCGTCGTTTCTTTTGATTTTCTGATGCGCCACTTCCCGTCATGTTCAGATGTAAAAGCCACTGCAAGCTTTCGGTGCTTCTAGTTCCCTCGTGAGTTGAACGTGGCAAGACTGCAGAATCTGCTGCCTGGGGGTTGTTTGGGAAGATAAGACATTTTAGTCCAGGCAAAGAAAAATAATAAAAAAAAATAAAAAAAAGGACCAGGAAAGAAATGCAGGCGCATGCTCCGTACGGGTGCAATAAAAGGCCAAGTGCCCGGACCCTCATTTCCCACTACTGTCTGTCTGTTCCAGATATCCCCTCGGTATCTACCTAAGAGGATTCAGTCACCTCTTGAGGCTTGGCCCGCTTCTGGACGTGGTTCCTTTTCTACGATCATCATATTTATATTATAGTTTTGTTGTCTTTCTCTTCCATCTCACGCCAGGTTGTGCCCCAGCTGGCTCAGCATATACTTGTACCTACACCTTCAGGATCCGCTCAATCCTCTACGTCTCAGTTGGGTGGCGGAAACAGGCACCTCGTTTCGGAAGTCGCTTAGCTGTTTGTACGCCGTGACGGCCCAACTAAAGTAATTAAAGCACGGGTAAGAAGGTAGGGACACTAGCTGCCCAATAGTTGGTCCACTGTGGAAACTGTCGTTTGTCGTTTTGCTGAGATATCTACCCCGAATCAGGATACAGTGGTAGGCTTACAGTCAACGCCCGAGACTTTTTTCTCGTTGCCGGAGACTGGTTGCATGGCTGGGGTTCCACGCATTCGTGCGATGGATGAGTCGATGAGTGCAGCGTCAATGTCGGTACAGTCAAGCTACCCATCTCTGTTTCAGTCCAGTGCGGAGATACCTCCGTTCTTTGTGACATACCGATGGTGGGAGGATGAAGCAACCACCGTGCTGTGGGCTTTTGACGTTGAGGATATCAAACGAGTGATCCAGTATGGTCTGTATCGAGACGAGAACCTGCCTCGTTCCTCCCTGCAGAGTCGAAATGCATCAGCCGTGGACAGTTTCCTGCTTACACTAGTTCAACCGAAGGAGAGGGCGTATATCGCCAATCTGTCATTTATCCAGAAGGTCGAAGAGATCATTCGCCGGTGCAAAGCCAATACCCCATCACTCGTTGCTTGGAGTTGGTTCCCACCTCAAGTGAAGCGGGACTTGGATCCCGCTGCGATTGCGGATGCGATTGATGCGGAAAGCCACCTGCATTTCACTCGTATTCCCTTCGAAGAGCTGGTCCGCTACTCCTTGGGTTACCCGGCGATCGCGGTCGAATGGTTTTTACGGCAACACACCGCACTGTACATCCATCTGTTGAATTATTTCAATACCTTCCCCGAGGAGATCGTGAGGTACGCCAAAGTTGAACAAGTAAACACCCCAGCTCCCTTGTGCCTGACCTTCGCACCAGATAGCTAACGTGACTGTGAAGCATCTTCGAAACCGAAGCCCATTTGCCCACCGCGCCTTGCTTCATTGCTTGCTCGCTCTGCAATCGGGAGGAAACTATGAGATACCGAGTGCCACACCTGGCTTCGAATTCATAGCGGATCCGATTCAAGGTTTGTTCAAAGACCTCCCGCCCAGTCTGACGTCGATTTTGAAAGTACTGTCGGTCTTGCGAGTCCGCTTTGAGAGGCAATATGTGCACGCCCGGACGATGAACTGGATTAAACCCTTTGATACCGACTTCTCCCTCTACGAAGACTTGACCGGATCGACATCCGCTGCCGACTTCGCTCGCACATTAACGAACGCCGACGAGCGCAGCTTCTCCGCCCTAACGCCGCAGCAAGTCATGGCGGAGGATCCGGCGGTGACGCGACTGCTGAGCAAGTGGGAGTCGCTCAGCATCGAGGTTTGGGAATGCTGCACCGCGCTGCCGGACATGATCCCGTATATTCAAGACTGTTTACAGGTACGAAGCGGAACTCATCTTCCGCCCCCCAACCGCATCATTCACCATTAACTGAGCTATTCCAGGCCCTCCTTGTCATTCGGAACTACCATTCGTTTTCCGCCATTATCAACGGCCTGCAGAAGTATAGCATCACCGATTCCGTCTTCAGCAGCAACGGTGCCGCCGAGGCAATGGCCCTGAACCCGATCGTTCCTCCCGACTTGCTCCTTCTGATCGTGCCGTATCAGAACTACGCTGCCTATCGACAACAGTTCCAGTCCTCGCCCGGCATCCCCTGTCTCATCCCACATATCAGAGAGTATCAACAGCAAGGGCAGCCGGCCTTGCTGCAGATGTTCCAGAGAATGCGCAACGCTATGCGCTAATTGAGCCAGACTGTGCCGGACACACAGAATCTATTTTTTCTTTTTCTTTTTCTTTTTTTTTTTTCCATTAATCGAGAAGCTCGAGGATATGAATCGTACATGTCACGATTTTGCATTAAGCATGTTGGAATTTACGGGATTTGTAATAAATTGGCGCTGGATTTCAATTTTATGGTGAGAGTAAGGGTTCGTTCTGCATATTGGGTTCATCCTGCAATCATGTCCTTGCTCAGCGAGTTCTCTGTTACTTTGTGAAGCGTATCTTTTGCTCTGACTATGTATTTCATGCACACGTTAAATAGTCGTTAATTGGAGAAATGTGTCCATGTCAGAGAATATGTAACAAGCCCAGATAAACTTTTCTCGTAGATATTCTTCCAGCAGCCAGTGCCGAGATTCGTAAAGGACCAAGTCTCCCATCGATGACACCTGATAATCATCTGAACTCACCCACCGCGCCTACTCAACAGATACAAGGCCACAACAGACACGCACCTCACCGCATTGACAACCACATAGTCAACAATCACATGGTCCACCCCGAACATCAGCAATAACCAAGCCAGCCCCTCCTTAACCAACATATAGACCAGCCAAGAAAGGCCCAACCCCCACCCAACACACGAGAGAATAACCAAGCCGAGTAGAAGCGCAGCGTTGATCTCCGCACCCCAACGATTCCTCACCCACACGGCCGGATTGCGTCGTCCTTGTCGGCTGTGCGCCGGCTCAGTTCTTCTTCTGATGGATCTTAGACGCCTTGGCATTTCCGAAGACACCGAGGAGGAACAGGATGCGGTTCACGAGCATGAATACCGTCATGCCAATGTTGCCCCAGGTGAGGAGGTTCTGCCACGCCCAGGGGTCGACGAAGGTGTCCCAGCCCACGCCGCGGTAGGTCGCGTAGAGATGGTTGATGTCGCTGAAGACGTAGGCGAGGATGTAGTTGCGGAAGACTTTCGGGTCGTTGGTGTTGTGGTGGATGAGGAAGCTTAGAAGGCCGAGGACTGCGTAGATGTTTCCTAGTTGGCCGGCTAGAACGACACTGCTTGGATGGATGGTCTCTGGCGCTGGGACGTTTGGTGTTGAGTCCACGATGAACTTGTTTAAGTCTAGGAGGGGGAAGATGTAGCCGCCGAAGCTGTGAATGTGGTTATTTGGAGGTCTTTATTTTCAAATCGATAGCTGTTGAATGCTTCTCTGTTGCTGTTCGTACCAGGATAAAGGCTCAAAGACCCTGAAAAGAAAGTGCGGCCAGGAGGGAACGTCGACGCCCATGGTGACGGTATTGATGTGGTTTGTCTTTCTAATGTATATAGAGGTGAATGTATATTGGGTATTTCTATCAGTGCTCCCGGCGTAAATGATAATACGTGGGCTCGGCGTATTGAGACAGGAACAGTTGCTTGTTATGAGGAAAGGTGATATGGTGAGGGTCTTTATATGGAGAAAGAACAAAGAAAAAGGGTGCGCTGGCACAGCTGGGGGCCAATATATTATATGAACATGGACCCAATGGTATGGGAAAGCTTAAGCAAGCTAGTCCCAGACTAAACTGGAGCTGCACAATTTCCGAGAGGAGATATGGAAGTATTCACAGGGATTGACATGAGTTGTTCCATTCCGCAACGATTGCCGAACGCTGGCAAATTAAACTTCCTGTTTAGGCAATCCTGGCTCCATCGGGCGTGGGGGCCAATGCTCAGTCAGCCGTGCACGTGCCATCCCAGAACTGGTTCTCTGGTTCGGAATACGGGGCGATAAGTTACATCTCAATTTATACACATTATCGTCATCACTATAATCTTTTTTTGTTTCCCCCTTTCTCCTATTTATTATCAACTTCAACTCCATGTATCAAGGGACTGAGGCAAAATGGCCCGTGTGATAAACTCTAGCATCTCTATAGGGCCGACCAATACTGAATGATCTCTGAACTACTAACTCCCGATGGTGTGAGTTCGAACAATGGACTCCAACGGCACCTTTGCCCGGTCTTTCGATGAATCCCTCACCCGCGAATTACCTCAACTGCAAAGCCTCCGCATTGCACCTCTCCGCCAACCAGTCTCCTCCCGCATCCTAAGCATCCCCTCACCGCTTGAACCGAATGCGAGTGGAGTTCGAGAGCCAAACTCCATCCCTAAGACCAACAATTCAACTGGAGTACTGCCTGGCCGCAACGACTCCAGTGGACTCACGGAGAGCGTCAATGCGGCGCGCGCAAAGAAAAATGACCATACCGTAGATGCGGTCTCAAGCTTACAGCCCCCTCCCAAGCCTATTCTCCCGGAATTTGTCAACCTCCGCGCCCTGGAACGATTCCCTTATTCCTCCTTTGACGATGACTCGCATGCCCGAAAGCGTCGACGGTTGGAGGTCCAGGCGGATTCCTTTGGAGAACATCTGCAGCTGCCCATTCCGCAGGCGCACAAGGAACCGCGACCGCCACCATTCGGGCCTTTTGCTATTCTTAATGGCCTGAACGAACCTCCGCCCAATGCCGCTCTTCTCCCTCCGATCGAACCCGGTTCCATCACGCAGCTGCTGACCAAACCCTCACGAGGCACTTCCTTTGTGGAACCCGTACTATTGACTGCCAATACAATTGTTGAGAGTCAAAGTGTGGAGAGGAGGGAAGGCAGGATCCATGAGATTTTGGATTCCCCTGTGGGGGAGAACACCGTGGATGGCGAGCAGACTACTATAGAAGGTGGCCTTTTCGATGATGCGAGCGTTGATCCGATAGGACACGAGAAAGGTGACTTGCAAACTAGCAAAGAAGCCCAACCCTGTGCGGAAGAAAAGGAGCCGCTGTCCCCGAAGACAAGAGGGCGCTCCCGCAAGAATCTTCGTAAATGGACTGAGGAGGAAACAACTGCTCTGTTGCGCGGCGTGGTTAAATGTGGGATTGGTAACTGGACCGCGATCTTGGCGCAACCAGAGCTGAAGTTCAACAAACGGAGTGCTTCAAACCTGAAGGATAGGTACGGCGCCGGTGGTGACCTTGTCGCGAAAGAATGGACTGACAGGAGACTAGATTTCGTGTCTGCTGTCCTTGGGCTTATCGGTAGGTTATTGTTGTGATTGTATTCCCTGGCTCTGCCTTCTAATCCTTCGAAGTGCCGCCGACCCCAATGAGGCTACGAAGAAACTTCGTGACACCCTGGCCGATGCACTCTCACGGGCCGAAACAGAGGGTGCTGATGGCGCCCCGGGGAAGATTCGCCTTCCACACCCATGGCCTGCCTCAGAGACGCCGCCTGGAGGAATCTCAGCCGGTAGTTCTCAGGAGTCCCTGTCTTCTAGCGGTACCCCGACCGAGGAGTCCGAGCTTAAAAGCTTGACTTCTCAGGCTAAACCAGCGTCGGCGAAAACCGGACCTACTCTTTCTGGCAAGTCCAAGTCTACCTTAGCATCTCTCGGCATCCCGGAGCCACATTTCACCATCAAGTCTCGCCGTCGGTCCCGGCGCCCATTCACTGTCGCTGAAGATGAAGCTCTTCTGAAAGGCTATGCGGTACACGGTTTTCAGTGGACACTAATTCAACAGGACAAGCGGCTGAACCTCGGTCATCGTAGAGCAACCGATCTGCGAGACCGGTTTAGGACCAAATTTCCGCACGCGTACCGTGACGGCGGGTCTGTCAGCGGTAATTCGTTCAATCAATCCGAGGAATCAGGTCTTAAAGATGGAAAAGACCGGACATCTAGTAGCAAGCGGAACTTGCAACCTACCAAACAACTCCCCAGCAGTCAAAATGGCAAGTCAGATAACTCTGAGCAGTCCGCATTAGGACCCATTGATCCTGCACTCTCTCCTCCAGCTCCACCCCCGGGACTTCCTCTCGAAAGCGTGGCAGGTGCCCCTTCGACAGCCGTGTTTTCCTTCCCGTTGGATGAAAATACTGCTAATCCATCAGGCGTGGACCCATCTTGGGCCGATAACACTCTTGCCCCAATGGTTTGGGATGAATTGTCATGACTGCAAAGAAACTTGAAACTCTCTCAAACACTTCCTTTTGCTAACTTGATCTCAGCTATGGGGCGGCGCATCCCAGGGTTTTCTTAATGTCTTTCATGTAAATTTTTTCGGATATTTACTTCGCCATGATGCCTACTGTCTACAAAACCCACTTCCGGCGACAGGTTTCTTACATGCTATGCCGTATGTGGCTCAGTAATGTTTACTACCTGTGGTAATGGTACAAGCACAAGCGAGATAAATAAAAACGAACCCACCTTTTTGATCCTCAACTCCTGGTCCCGTTTCTTATTTCAGGTATATGTGTTTGACCGCTCACATACATTTGATACCACGTACCCAACCGAAAAAACAACCCATCAAAGCCACCGGTAATGATCTTTGTCTAAACGGTCATAACCTACAAAATCCAAAGTGGGAACTGAAATAGATATTAAATGCCATGTTCGCCTTTACAAAACAAGAAGAATCAAGCATCAACATGAACGCTATTTTGCGTGGAAATTCCGCCAAGACAGACAGACAAGGTAACTGTAAGAGATGCACCAAAGACAAGGAGGGGAAGGAGAGAAGGAAGGCAAAATCACAAGACGAGTATAACCACAAGCCACAGGCCATGGATTAACACACCCGCATGTAATTGAAGAAGAAAAGGTGAAAAGGAGGATGAAAACCGAACTGCCGAAGCAAGACCCTCATTTCAATGACGATCCACCGCACAACCTAACTCTACCAAGCATTGCGGTCCCAGTTCGGATCTACACCACACCAGTCAGCAATCCACATTACAATCAAGGCCTGTAGAAACAAAACGAAACGAAGAAAAAAACAAGGAATAGAAAAGACAAACCCTGTATGAAGCTCGCCAAAACCTTACTCCCCGTCTGCAAAAGCGGATGGCCGGCAACTATCTGCAAGAACCGCTGCAGTCCCTCCCTGCGGTGCTCGATGACATCGTCACTGAACCGATTCGTAAACACCTTCCCGGGCAGCGGCGGAATCGTCACCCTTGTGCTCTCGCGCTCCAGGATATCGCGGAAATATTCGAAATCGGAGTAGCGGCGGCGCACGACGGAGTGCTTGAGCTTGAATGCGGGGATATTGGTGCGACAGACGATTTCGTACGAGGTGTACATGTTCCGGGATGTGCCGTGGGTTTGGGGGTTTCGGACCTAGGGAGATATGGTTAATTGGTGCGGGGATATTGACATGGAACCTATGTATAGCATCTTGGAGAGGGGGGGTTGTATGTCGCGCGACATGGCCGAATTGATACGACTCTGTGTTTTCTTCCGGATTTTGCTAGCGATAGTGAAAAGGAGAAAAACCACATACCTCAATCTCGAGGAAATTCTCCGGAGGACCGTAGATTTCCTCGAAGGTCTGCTGTCGCGATTCCGGGACGGCTTGCATTGTGACGGGGATACGACCTCCTGCGAAACGAGATGTTGAAAAAGGTGGGGAGCGAGACCGCGGGGAAGCTTCAGCCGCCGGACGACGAGGGGTGGATGCTCGGGTTTCTTTCCTTGACCGGAGGAAGGTCTGGGTGTTGGAGGTTTCGGGGTGGTTTTAATACAGGTAGCGACGGCTCGTTCGGAGGCCCGTGAACGAAAGGCGCAGAGGATGGCTGGAGGATTTCGGTCAAAAGAGGGAATTTTGGTATGACGACGACGGGGGTACTGATAACTGATTTCATGCTCTTAGCGTCGTATTGCTGGTGTATGGTTCTATCCAGGCTGGGGGCGCATTGTTATTCCGTTCCGCTGTCATGCTGGATCATGTGACAATTTTATAGTTTCTTCCTGACTGATGAATGCTCTCGATTTAACCAATATACTTTTTGTGGATACTGATTCTGTATACATGCTTAGCTAGCCTTAATATAATTGAACTTTGTTTGATAAAAGTTGATGGATCCATTGTACTCATGTTTATACCTTTCCCTAACAGCAATTGCACAAGTTCCTTGTGACCATAGAAAGATATCGCGTATGCTTGGCTGTCGTGGAGGAAGAAACAAAGGATGCCTTCCTGGACATCTTTTTCAGTCTCAGCAGGTGTGGTGGCATACATTGATTTGGTTGAGACCCTTTAAATTACTATATCAACCTCTGTTATTTTCCGTCGGAAAACTGCTTCAATTTACCCTAACGTAAGAAATCACCGAACAGAAAGATAGGCTAACTAAAGCTCTATCAATGCTTTCCCGGGTTATAGTTAGCCTGTCCTGCTTTGAGGGATACTAGACTGGACTAGACTTTTGTAATCTCTCGAGGTTTTGAAATCCTCAGCTGGGAATCAAACGTAGGATATTTACTGAAGTTAATTACTATAATATCAACAGCTCCTTTGATTAAGGTCGCTCAGAGCAAGCCAGAAACTGTAAAATCCTTAGAGCGTAGAATCGACAATCCTTGCCAATACTTGGTAATATTTAAGTATAGGCTTCCTGTGACGTCTTAGATAGACGTCTAAGTGACTCCCGAAGCATTCGAAGGTCCAGATATTTTGTGGAATATCAAGTTAGCATGCAGCTCATCTGAACCTGTACACATAGTCAACAATGATGGTATGTCACCCAGTAACTCAATTATTGTAGAATCCTCCAGTTATCGTCCCCCCTGCAGTCTTGCTAGTGATTGAAGGAGGATCTATTGGGGCTTGCTGACAAAGTCTTTCCATTCCCATTTTTCATTGGACTTCGCCTTCCTTAAAATATACTGATTCACTCCTCCAGTTGTTAGATTTAAATCAGAACATAATTATTACCTTGCGGTCGGCCGACAACGACATTACCTAGCCGGATATCATGGCCTTGTTCAGGTCAGGTAATACTGCCGCCAATTCCCACAAGTAGACCAGTTCAAATCTAAGACAGGGATAAAGCAGATTCGACGCCGTAATTGGAGCGGAAGGTGTCCCATATAAACCTGCGGGGAGTGACAACGTTGTGCTCTCTCATCTTAACCCCGGTATATGGGATTATGTTGGCTTGATACTGGACGAAGCCGCACGGCGAACGATGGAGCTCATCCAGCATCGCAGTTGATGTGGCACGCTTCATGAATAAAGCTACAATCCACCCCATCGTTTGCAGCTTAGAGCTGTCCAAAGCTTTGACGGTTGGCATGGTTTGGTAGTTCCACGCACAGAACTGGAGATTGTCTTTCCCGTTGTGGATCAGTGCGTGCTGTCAGGAAAGGAAGGAGGGGAGGGGGGAGTACTGCTATCGAATAACCCAATTAGTTAGAACTTAGCAATATCATCAATCTACCGGTTCACACCACCTCGACCAGTTCCGGTGGGTACTTGTCTACTGGCATACTTTGTATCGATCCGGGTTGGTCGATTCTTCACAGTGCTAAACTCTGGTAGTTGGGATACAATAGCAGATGTATATTGAGATATTGCAACTTTCGTCCACGAATATGCACTGCGGGGCATTCATTGCATACATGCAGCGCGGCTGAGCCGTAGCCATCTCGTCCTCTTGCGTATTTCTACTTGAGGGTGGCCTCAATCTCTTTCTTGAAACTAGAAGGATTAAATAGGTGGTATACAAGAGTTCACGGTACCTCCAGAAGATCAGCAAGCTCAATTTCTACTTTAGTATCGCTGAATGTGGGTAATGGTGTTGTTAGTGAAGCGCGTATTATAGGCTGCCTACATCATCTCTGACACGTCAACCCCGTGTGTTGTAGCGTGTGTCAGCTGGATGCTTTGTCCCCGCGCTCTCACTTCATCAAGTGAAGTGATCCCAGCACTTTCCTTTTTTTTTTTTTTTTTTTTTTTTTTTTTTTTTTTTTTTTTTTTTTTTTTTTTTTTTTTTTTTTTTTTTTTTTCGTGATGTACTGGCATTATCATCTTACGTACTTCATCCGACAGGACCTCTAGAGAAGTGGGGAGTGATACGAACGGATTCCTGGAGCCTCTACCAACTAATCATGCGGTTACTTAATACACACACGCTTGAGGTGGAGGAGCATGGAGGCGGAGAATTCCCACAATATGCAATTCTCTCACATACCTGGGGGAAGGAGGAAGTTACGTTGCAGGATATCACGTCGCAAGCGGCCCAAAAATTGAAGGGATATGAAAAGATCCTGGGAGCTTGCTCCATTGCTCGGGAGAACCGCTTTGATTACATCTGGATTGACACTTGCTGCATTGATAAGACAAGCAGTGCGGAACTTTCAGAGGCTATCAACTCCATGTACTGTTGGTATGAGGAAGCAGAAGTTTGCTACGCATATCTATCCGATGTCCCCCACGGGTCCGTCTGTGACGACAATTTCAGGAACAGCAAATGGTTCACTAGGGGCTGGACTCTTCAAGAGCTTATCGCCCCATCGACGGTCATCTTCTTCGATAGCGAATGGCACAAGATGGGTGAAAAATTAGATCTGCAGAAGCAAATATCTGAAATAACCGGAATACCTGGTAATTTCTTATTGGGAGACGACGTAGCATATGCTAGTGTCGCTCAAAAAATGTCATGGGCTGCAAAGAGAAAGACAACAAGAATTGAGGATGTCGCCTATTGCTTAATGGGAATCTTTGGAATATCCATGCCGATGCTGTACGGTGAAGGAACAAAGGCATTTATCAGACTTCAAGAGGAGATCATGCGAACTACGAATGACCACAGTCTCTTTGCCTGGACATCAACAGATCACCATGGTGGGGTTCTTGCAAGTTCGCCAGCTGCGTTTGCTGGCTCCGGCAACGTCATCCCAACAAAGCCTTCTGGTGTTATAGGCAATCCTATCACACTTAGCAGCAGAGGAATCAATTTATCACTCCGCTATAAAAGCGATGAGAAGGGGGGCTCGGGGCTTGCTATTCTTGACTGCACTCGGATAATGGAGAAGAATAAACGGCTCGCGATCGGTCTGAAGGATGTCCTCTTAACAAATCAAAATTTTACGAGAGAGCGAAGCTCGGAACTGGAAGTGCTAGACCTAGCAAAAGTTTATCTCAAGCATTACCCTATGAAATCCTTATATATCAGACCGTGGCGTTCGGTGCGTCACAGGAAGCAGGGAAACGTGGGGAAATGCGCAGTCAGGTTCAAAGGCGTAGAGAAAGAGGAAATGGCCTCCTGTACAATCTATCGGTGCTCCAGCTGGGGGTTTCATGACGAGCTGATCATTACAACTACGGAACTTCCCGCCGATGGCATAATTGGTCGACTGGTGGTGCTAGACAAAGAGGGAAATTCGTTTCAGATAGTTCTGAAGCGGTCCGGAGGACTCCTTTTCGTGGACATCCATAATAGTCTCCAAGTGCATCATACACCTTCTCAGGATCTAGAACAACAGCAATACGAGCGAGATCAAATTGCGAGTGTCCTCGACAATGGGCAGTACATATATGCAGCAATTGATAAGCGAACTTTCATGCTGCATGGCGAAAGGCATATTCTGGAAGTCGTGGAAATAGATTACCCTGTCGGCTCTGCGCAGGCATGGCTTCAGCAAGTGGCAGTACTCGAAGGATATATTGAAGAAGGAACGTTACTGCCGTATGCAGCAAGACGAGGATCTGTAGCGGTCATACAGCTGCTTGATGAGACAAATAAATGTGCGAGCGATTTCGAAACCGAAATTGGATTGGCATCTTTGACATTAGCTGCCAAGAACGGACATGAAGGTGTGGTCAAACTGCTCCTTCAGAAGGGAATTGACTTGCAGTCAAGTGTCAGTTTCTTTCCTTTTTCTTCTAATCATTCTTTGACATTCTTGTCATACGCTGTCCAGATCGGAAATGAGGCGGCAGTTCAACTACTGCTTGAAAGAGGCGCTGACATAGAGTTTGCACCTTATAATACTCCATCAGCGCTGTCACTAGCGGCTTCTATGGGACACGAAACAGTGGTCAAACTGCTTCTTGATATGGGTGCTGATCCTAACTCCAAATCTGGTAGCAATAACATGACACCGCTGCTGTTTGCTACCAGCATGAGACGTGAGGCAGTAGTCAAGCTGCTGCTTAATAACGGAGCCTATATCGAATCTAAAACACATCGTGGTCAGACAGCGCTGTTATTAGCAGCCGAGAACGGAGATATAGCAATGGTCAAGGTACTGCTTAAGAGCGGAGCTGATATCGAGTCTAGATCAGATAATGGTCAGACAGCGCTGTCATTAGCAGTCCAGAAAGGACATAAAGAAGTGGTCAACGCATTGCTTGAGAGCGGAGCTGATATCGAGTTTGTGAAATTTCTGTCTTCCAGGTTGTTGATATCAGAAGTTTCGCTTCGTTTATCTCATTTGACAGGGTATAGAAGTAGATAGGCACATAATCTACCGTCCACTATTGAAAAGCCAGCGGGTTTAAGTTCGAATTTTTGGTGGCCGAAATGTCTATATACAAGGGGCAGGGTCGACTGTACAAGTCATCCGCTGTAAATAGGAGTTAGGATGTATCTAACATAAGTCATAATTCGATCAGCTGGGTCACAAGCTATTGTAATACTGGATAGATATACGTACATATATATGCACGATCCAGATTGGTATTCGTACGGGTAATTGACGACAATTTGTAACTTCTTGTGGAGGCCATAATGGATTCTATAACTAAAATTATATCCACGAATTCAGTCCACTCGTCGAACGGCACGCATTGGCATTCCACCGGCAGGAGTTGGGCCTGTCCCGCTCATCGTCACATATGCAAGACCACCATAGATATCCGGCCCTCTGGTAGACTGGGGATCATATGCCAGCTCAAAGTCAAACTGCCGCACCGTAAGTAGCAGAACCAATTTGAGTTGTATGAGCGCCAGCTCCTGCCCAGTACAGTTTCCCCTCCCTTTCTCAAACGGCCTCCAGGCATCAGGAGGGATCTTTCGCCTTGCGTCAGGCAGAAAGCGGTCCGGATCAAATTTGTCCGGCTCAGGGAAAAGATCAGATCGTCGGTGCATAGCAGTATGGAGCAGAACAACCTGGTTTGAGGTCATAGGTTAGGTTCGACCAAGGGATATTGACTACGTTAGGAAAACCTACTACATGGTCTCGGATTGGGTACATCTGTCCTTCAGGGGAAATAATATGCTCGCTATCAAGTTAGTCCTCAATGATCACAGCACAGAAAACGGAGAATCTACCTGTTTGGTTGTCTTAGTATCGCCCCCATGGAGAAGAGCCGCAGTGTTTCCTTGATAACAGCAAGCGTGAGTACAAGCTGATTTAATCGTTCAGGATTGGTCTTGAGCAGCTGCAGGGTGATATCTCTATCCGGGCTGAAAATATCATCATGCTCTGCTCTCACGCGCTGTGCAATATCTGGGTATTGGTATAGAAGCATGAGGCAGTACTTGAATTCAGTCAATATATGGGTTTATATAACTGTCGGAAGGCGTGCAAAAGTATTATACTGACCGATAAAGAGGTGCTGCCGCTCACAGCGGCGAGGAAAATACCAGCACAACTGCAATAGGTCATGTTAGTGACATCCAGAGGAGCTTTTTCTGCGGCTGACCTAGAGACCAAATCGTCCACATATTCCTCTGTCATTTGCCCATTGCCCCCGATGTTGACAGGAAACTGTGGGAGCTTGTTGTTCTGATATGCCGTGAATGACGAGTATAGAAGCGAGGGCTTCGAGCATGAATGGCTATCCCGTTCCCTAAAGCATGCGTAAACCTCGTTTCGGATCAATTTGTGGAAAGCCTCACATCGGGTTCTCCATTTCTGCATTATAAATGGACGTTTGAAGGGATTCCTTGCCGCAGAAATAGAACCCACGGCTCCCTCGTACAAGGCACTCCATTCACTATTCTCTGAGAAAGTGTCAAGCTGCCTCCCGAAAAGAACCCGCCCCGTCATTTCCAGAATGGAAAACTTGGTTACAGTTGCCATCTTGAATATCTGGCCTGTTTTGGCACATTGTGCGAGCATCTGGTCTAGGGCTTGCAGATCCTCCGCCATGGCAGGGATCATTCGTACAAAACGAGATGTTGTAAATGATGACCCGAATATGGAGTGATTCTTGGTCCAGTTGTTCTGCGATAATGTCTGGATCCATCTCTGCGATGCGGCTGGAGCCAATGGTTCGAAAACGCTAGGCCACCGGGGAGCTCTGTCTTCCACAGTGATCTTGCGAGCGACATCTGGGTCGCTTACACAGACAATTGGGGGAAATATCGGCCAGAGGTCAAGAAAGAAGATGGGCGGTAGGTCGAACTTTCGCTGTATTCCATCTAGAATGTTTGCAAAGAAGGAATCCCAGGGGTAGTCCACCCATTGTCCAAGGAGCAGTAACCAATGGCCGAATACAGCACTATGCGGGGGTTTGGGCTTAGGGGTTAGATTCAGTATTTGTCCAGCTTGACTTAAGCAAATGTATGTGTCACATGACTTACTCGATTGTAAAATTTTGATCGCACGCGGGCCACCCTGTATAGAAACAGTGCCACGAGTGTACTGAAGAGAAGACCAACCCATTGGAATATTATCGTCATATTCGCAAATAGTAGTTTAGAGACCTAGGATAGATTCAATCATCAGTGGAACATCCTTCACATGGTACAAGCGGGTGATGTAGGAGTACTTGATATGTTATTTCCCTTCGGGGAGTGGAGTGCAAGCAGAAAGACAGCAATCTCATGAATCTCATATAAATCACCATCATAGAGGAAATGGACCATACCAGTCTGTTTTACCCATGCATGTATCGTTGTTTGCGCATAATGTAAAGAAATACCTGTAATTTACTGTACGCAGAACCAGAAGGGGCATATGGTATACAGTCGTGGATAAAAATGCCCCCCGCCCTGTCCCAACTCATCAATCTCTGACTTCGTTGTTCACTCTTGTCTTAAACAGTGTTCTGACCTCCTTATCCTCAGCAAACCTGTTTCTGTCTTTCTTTTTCTTTGTTCTTTCTCCACAGTGACAAGAATTCGGCGAAAATGAGTGAAACGTGCCAAACCAACGGCTACGATACGGTTCACGCAGTGGATTTTTACCATTCAATGACTCAAATCCCTGGCTTTTTGCAGGATGCCGCAGTCTACCTTGACGGCTATCGAAAAACATTACAGTTGCAAACCACGAAGAAAAGACCTTTCGTGGTTCTGGATGTTTGTACGGGAACTGGACGAGTTATCCGAGACCTAGTGGCCCACCTATCGGAGCACGACGCAGACCTTCACGCCACCAAATTCATCGGGTTAGACATATCGAGGCCCATGCTGGATCAGGCAGCCAAGCTTCCACTGGCATCCCCCACCGCCGATGTAACTTGGATTGAAGGCTCCGCCCTGAATCTCCATGAGGTCCCTGCTTTCCGAGATGGCGTGTTGAAGGCTGATTTGCTGATAGTCGCCTTCAGCTCGATTAGCCACTTTATCGAACCGGGCCAGGTCGCCCAGTTTCTCAGGGAGGTTGCTCGCGTGCTCCAACCAGGGACTGGTAGAGCATACATCTCGTTGCGCGATATTCCCGCAACCTTTCAATCGGATATGGCCCCGGCTGAAGGCGACACCAATAGCACGGACCTTCCCAGTCTTGTGTTACCAGGAATTACCTATCGTCAGATTGGCAATGATGTTCAAGTCAAGGACGGTGTGGTTTATGTGGTGAGCAATGTGCAAGTAATGTCGGGCAAGGGGGATACCCTCAGCACCGAATCCGCTACTACGGCATTTCGCATCTTGGGGGATGATGAGCTCCGCACCCTTGCTTCGAGCGTGGGATTGGACGTGATGGAGACCGTGAAAGCAGGAGAGGAGACCTATTACGTGTTCCAATCCCCTTGAGGGCAAGGTTGCTACACACACCCTCCCTCTAGAGACAACACAAGGATCCTCTTTAAATTGGACCAATTGGGACGTTTTGGAGATTTCTGAAGAATGCACGAGTAGAATCGAGGCTGTTATCTTTACGTTGCGTATACGTTCTTTCTCCCATCTTCCCCCTACCACCCACTACTCCTGATGCGAATAGTTTCCCACCGTGCAAATCCAAGTTTGCCCATTCCAGAAGCGAAATACTCGATGATGACCAAGATACTTGGTGGATATGTTGCTCCGAGCTGTGTCGTATGCATCACGCAGCTATGTAGCATGGGCTGGAAATTGTGGCGATGTATCACTTCTACACCCAGCAGCGTCAATTGACTACTGCAAGCTAAGTCAAATGGCGCTTGTCAGTGAACAGAAAGTCCGACCGTACCGCACATTGTCCTTCAGCTCTGATAAGCGGCATTTCAATCCTGGCTAATGGGGGCATGGGCTGCTCGACCCGCAGCGCGGCAACAAGTTGATTTAATGCGCGGCTGAAGTATTTGAAAACTTGTCTCGTGAGTTGTATCCCATGGTCCATTGGTTTGTGATACCGGCGATGCTGGGATACAAGCGTAGGACAATTGCCTTTTCTCCCCGAGCTCGGCTTCTTCCAAACTTCGTGACTGCATTGTCAACTCTAGTTGTGATTACGTTCTGTATGAAGCAAAAGAGTCCAAATTGAGGAATGGCTGGCCTTTGGTGCTGGGTGATCGTCGGAGCCATCTTTCTCGGGCCGTGTTGCATAGGGATTCTGCTCTACTGGGATATCCCCATACTGCGCCTGGCATAATCGCAGTGGTTCTGTACGATACGGTATGGTATATACGGTAGTACAGACATACATCTCCGGACATTATCATACTCTCCTTATATGCATTGCTGTTTGACAATTGGGCCGGGGCTAACATCATCATCATCTCTAGCTTTCAGCTTCTCGACCAGAGACAGTTGCTTCTTTTAGACTCCGAGCGACGATAGAACTACCTACTCTCAATATCTGGCAAGAACTCGCAGTTGCTTTGATGCTGTGTGCTATCACAACTGGGTATATTCAGGACCTTTCTCAGTATCAGGCCTCATGATTACTGTAAGCGGGTAGACGAAAGAAAAAGCAGGCCAGCCGCCTCGACTCTGATTCGATGTTGTAGATTGCTAGACGCATCCCTTGTATTAGACCATGGTTATCCCCGGTTGCTTTGAAAGACCTCACGACCTCATGGCTGAATATACGGCATCGTGCTTCTTTCCACGGTCCCCCGCCGATCATAAGCTTGCATATACCAAGATCCTGCGCTATCCAGTGTTCCGCCTGAGATCGTCCAGAGGAGTGGCGCCTTTGACAGCTTATATCCAACTCGCATGGACAATTCTCATCGGTAAACTCACGGATGCCACAGATGTTGAGTTTGGACTCACTCTATGGGGATCCAATGGCGGTTCACAGAACGTTTCCTTTCGCTTTCACATCAGTGAAGATGAGAAAGTCGAACAGGCTTTAGCTTCGATACAGGCTGCCACCTTCGGCTCTTCTGAAAATGCCCTTAGTGACTTCCATTTCCACTTGAATATTGAGGAGGAATGGAACGATGAAATCGAGCTGTGCTATCCACCACCATCAGGGGTATGTTCCCTGGTTGTGACATGCTGCATTCATGGTGGATCATCGGCGAAGGACATGCCAGATTTACAATTCATTGTGCACTATGACACTAGGATCATGGAAACAGTCGAGGTGCTGCGCATGCTACACCAGTTCAAGCATATATTATATCAGCTACTGGAAGCGCTGCAGACCAGATTACGGGAACTGGATCTCGTTAGCCCTGAGGATTGGCTGACGCTGAGGGACTGGAACGCAAGATTACCCAGGGCAAGCAAAGTCACCTTGCACGAGCTGGCACTTTATCATGGGGGCTCCCAGCCCGCCATCGCCGCCTGGGATGGCAGCATGACTTACCACCAGTTGAACCGAGCATCCCTCGGCGTGGCTCAGCATCTCCTACACTGTGGGGTTTGTCCAGGAATGTTCATCCCCTTCTGCTTGGAGAAGTCCAAGTGGTCCGTGTTGACCATTCTGGCCATCCTTCGTGTTGGGGGCATCTGGGTACCTATCGATCCCAACACCCCGATCGGCCGCGCTCGCGAGATGATCGAGGGCATGGGAGCTCAATTCGTGGTAGCCTCAGCCGCTCAACGTCACAAGATGGAGCAGCTGGGCCCGCGTTTACTGGTGGTGTCCGACAGCATGGCTTCCACGGATGCCGCCAATTGCATTCCTCTTCCTGAGGTGCATCCAGAAGACCTAGCCATGGTGCTGTTTACTTCTGGGACAACCGGTCGTCCAAAGGGCATGCAAGTCCATCACGAAAATATCGCGACAGCCGCATTGGCCATCCTTGACATGTTGAATATCGATTCCACTACCCGTGCACTACATTTTGCCTCATACAGCTTTGATCTGGCTATGTACGAGATGATCTGTACGCTCCACCGCGGTGCCTGTCTCTGCATTCCTTCTGAATCCGAACGACTCGATGACGTGACAGGTTTCATGCGGGAGCAGAAGATCAGTTGGGCCGCGTTCACTCCATCCTCTTTCTCTCTTCTTCGCCCAGGTGACCTCCCAGACTTGCGCACAGTGGCTCTTGCTGGTGAAGCTATTCCACCAAGCCTTGTACAGGCATGGACACCGCACGTGCAGTTGGTCAATGTGTATGGACCAACAGAGTCTTCCGTTTGCAGTGCCGGACCAATTCCTCAGCATGGGTGGCGCGCAGGCACCATTGGGCCTATGCTGGGAGGAATAGGATGGATTACAGATCCGACAGACACCGAAAAATTAGTCCCAATAGGTGCTATTGGGGAGTTGCTAGTCGAAGGCCCTGGAATAACAGGAGGTTATCTTAACAGACCATCCTCTCGCTCTGCAGAGGTCTTCATTGATGCTCCCTCTTGGCTCCGTCGCTTCCGTTTGTCCCCCGGTTCTGCCCAGGTCCCAGGACGTCTTTATCGCACGGGCGACTTGGTCCGATATACGAGCCTTGGATGGATCCAATTTGTTGGGCGGCAGGACACACAGATCAAGATCCGAGGACAGCGAGTAGAACTAGGGGAGGTGGAACACCGCGTCCAAGAGGCGTTCCCCAGCGCTCCCCGCGCCGTGGTCGAATCTGTAAGCCCGTCTGCGGGTCGTCCGGCACCGATCCTCGTGGCGTTCATTCCCATACAGCAGGATGATACACCGTTGGAGGCAGAGTCCACTCTACTCTGCGAGCATAGTAGCGAGTTCGAAGCGCAAGTAATTACAGCATCAACAAGATTGCAAGAGTCTCTGCCTATATACATGATCCCATCCTTGTTTGTGCCAGTCAGATACCTTCCTCGGACCATCACGGCGAAAACGGACCGCGCTCAGTTGCGGCAATTGGTGATTAATCGCCCATGGCGTGAACTACAAAGATATCGACCCGCACCGCGGTGTCCATGTAACAGACAGGCTGCATCCTCCATTACAGAAAGTAAAGAGTTGCGGATCCTAGTGTCGCTGGTAGCAGACGTACTGACGTGCGACATCGAGGACATCCGGACAGAGGACAGTTTCCTATCACTAGGTGGCGATTCGCTATCCGCCATGGAACTAGTGGGATTGGCACGAAAGGCTGGTCTAACTCTGTCGGTTTTGAGCGTCCTTCAGACTCGATCACTTCAGGAGCTACCCAACTCTTCCGCAGCGCTTCAGCAATCTCTGACCGACGGTCTCACCGGACAGGCCTTCTCGCAACTTCGAGTTGACGACCCCAAGACATTCCTTGCGCATCTAGTCTCACGGCTGTCTCCACAGACCGTCGAAATTGAAGACATCGAGGATGTTCTCCCGGCAACGCCACGCCAGGAGTACTTGTCCGACTTCCCCTGTGAGTATCTGCTGCTCCGGCTACAAGGATCTATAAATCACGCCCGGCTCCAGCAATCGTGCAAGCGTCTAGTGCATTACCACCCCATCCTACGTACAGTCTTTATCCGATCAGGGGACATAATGCACCAGGTAGTGCTACGGCATCCGGCCGTGGCATTGCACGTCCAATCTCCCAAAACGGATACGAAGGAAGATGTTAATACCAGCGCCCTGCAATGGTGCCAAGCAGATTCACTGCTCCCCGTCGACCCTTCGAAGCTCTCAGTGCACTTGGTCTTGGTTCAAGGAACCACCCAAGATGACAACGTTTTGGTGCTGCGTTACAGCCGGTCACTCTTCGACCCTGAAACCATTCCCATAGTATACCGTGGGTTACAACAACTATACGAAGGCCACAGCCCGCCACCAGCCGTCTCGTTCCCCGCTTTCATGTACCATGCCCTGAGCCAGGACCTGACAGCCGAGTTTTCATTCTGGCGACATGTACTCCAGAACGCCGAAATGACCCAGCTCCCACCATCGACTAATCCAGATCCCAATCCACAAATCCTCTTGGCGCCCTTACCGTTGCCGACAATCAGGCCCCCAGCAGGCATTACAGCAGCGACAGTCGTCAAGGCAGCATGGGCACTCGTACTAGCCGAGCAGACAGGATTGCATGAAATCGTCTTCACACAGGTAGTCAGCGGCCGATCGATGCCCATCACGGACATCCAGAACGTAGTGGGTCCCTGCAACAGGATCCTGCCGGTTCGCGTCTCCATTGATGACTCGAGAGACGGTCTGCTGCAACAGATTCACACCCAGCATATTGACAGCCTGCCTTTCCAGGGAGTATACCTGCGCGACATCATTCAGCACTGCACCTCGTGGCCAGCCGATACCACGATGGGGTCTATCGTCCTGCACCAGAATATAGAGTACCCGAAGTCTTTTGCTATGGGGGATCTCCAATGCACGCCGTCATACTTCAATGCACCGCCCCGCCATATGCCGGTCACGGTCGTTTCTATGCCCCAGGAAACAGGTCATCTGATTTTCCTTACTTGCTCCAGCGATTGTGCAACCCAGGTCTATCTGGATGCGCTGCGCGACTCCATGGGGCGCCATATCGCTGCTCTGCTGAAGCCGGTGGATCTTTGATTGTTGAGTTTCTCGTGGTAAGGTATCTTCGCTTGAGTGGATTCACTGATGCAACATCTTGTATAACAGTGATGTGGGTGTAAAGCTTGAACATAAGGTTTGCATGAGCAAAGCTACACGTGACCATGTTTGATGCTTAGGCATGCAGTAAGTCGTCGATGGAAACATCTTTATTTCATCTTAAAGTAGTTATGAAGTGTTTATGTTCAGTATGCATACATATGTTTTTTTGGTAGACAAGAGGAGATGTAGGGTTAGGTGAATCATACTAAGATATGGTCATGATGTATGGTAGGTCCATACGACACAGATCTGGAACATCAGTTTCATTGTTGTAAAAATGTCAATTAAATCTCAATAGTAGAAGATATTCAAGGCAGCAAAACGTTAATAGTCATACAGTTGTCAACCTGAATAGCAAGAGGTAGTAAATGAAGCATATCATGTTAAACCAGCTCACAATGCGCAAGAAAAGAACATTCGATTTGTCTAATACACCATAAGAAGAGCTGAAAACCCGCGTGAAAGTAACAGACCAATTTCCCGTTAAACCGTTAGAAGAACAAGCAGTATGAAAACGAACCCAAGGGATGAATGATGGGGAACTTAGATGGTAAAACATGTGGTACAGAAAAATAACGATTTCTCAATGTCCAGATATCGCCAGGGACAAACCATAAATTATGCAAGCGTGTCAAGAGGATCTTCTACTCTTGTCGGCTGCGCTTTGCGCCATGGGGGTTCCATGATCCATCACCTCCAACCCCTTGGTTAGGAGGGAAGAAGTTTTGATTGAAAGCGGGATTAGGACCTTGGAAGCCGCCTTTACCTAGCAAAACAGCCGTGGTCAGAACATGTCTACATGGCCAGCCGGGGGAGAATTATATCACTCGCAACGAGACATACCTTGCATCGCCATGTTTCCTCCCATGCCGCCCATCATCGGGTTCATTCCACCAGACATTGGGTTCATGCCCATACCACCCATCGGGTTCATATTCGGCATACCCATCATGTTGGGACCCCCCATACCGCCGCCTCCACGGCCGCCGCGCATGCCCCCGGGTCCACCTCGCATGCCGCCCATCATGCCTCCACGGTTATTGAAGCCGCCATAGTTTTGCATACCTCCCATCGGATTCCCACCGAAACCTCCAGCCATCGGGTTTTGGAAGCCCATTGGATTCTGGAAGTTCCGGTTGTTGAACCCTCCCATGTTATTATTCATGCCACCCCGGGAGTTGAAACCACCGCGGCCGCCACGGAAACCACCACCGCCACCACCACCCATGTTGTTCATTCCGAAGTTCATGTTCTGCGCTGGCGAGTTGAAGCCTCCAGACATCGACCGAGCCTGATTGTCCTTTCGCATAGGCGCATCCTTCGGAAGTGTGCGGAAAGGGTTTGGTTGGGGGTTGGTATAGTTAACAGAGTACTTCCGTCCTGACGATCCTGTCATACTGAAGGATTCGAGCTTGTGTTTGGTGGCAGTCGCGGCCTGAAGTGTAGTGAATTCAACAAAAGCTTGGCTGGTTGTGCAAATCAATTAGCACGCTACACCCTAACAATTCAGCCACAATTGCTTACCCTTTACTCTTGCCGTTCACCTTGTGTTCGCTGAAAGTTACATCCTTAAGTTCATCCTCGCAGTCGGCCTCACGGATCCAACCACGAATATCATCATCAGTGGTCCACCAGTACAGATCAGAGATAAGCAGGGCAGGTGTGGCATCTGGATCCGATGGACGGTCGTCATGCTCTTTGCGCTTTACGCCCTGCGGGGGAGCTGGCGTCTCTGTTGCCGCTGACTGTTGCGGGTTTGATTGTGTTACATGTTCCCCATTGGGCTCTGTACCTTCGGCATGCCCCTGCTGCGCGTTGGTGTCTGCAGCGCCATCGCCATGGGCAGGAGCGGCATTTTGGGGCTGCTCTGGAGCGTCTAGGATGAGTTCGGTGTCATCATGCTTGATATCATCCTCTCCGGCTTGGTCATTAGCGTTATATCCACCACCATCACCATAGATGTCAATATCGAAGTTATCATCTTCAGTAGCCATGGCGTTAAGATATGGATCGGAAGCTCAAGGCAAATTTTTGATTGCTTGGATAGTGAAATATACAGTCCTTTGTTTCTTTTCTCTGATTCGTTGAATCAATGGAAGTACATGTCTGCAGACATAGACCGTCAATTAGCACGGAAGTTGCTATCGCTTGAGAGTGAAAGGTCGCTGCACGAGTCTCCCAAGCAGCAAGGGAGTAACACTGGGTCATGTTTGTAGCAAATGCCAAAATCCACTTTGCAACTTCTTAAAGCAACAGGGGCGAGTGCAGTGTCGACAGACAAAAGGATAAAAAAGGCTCGAAAATACGTACAATCCGAAGCAACAACAGCTTCAAAAATGAACAAAGTCTTCACCAGTCCGTAAATCTGATTGCTCTGAAACGGAGATACAGAGCGGAACTTTTGTCTCAGGATTCCAAATACAGGTAAGATAAGTTATGGCAAGATTTTCTTCAGTGAAAAAGTAGAGAGAAAGGGACGAAGATGGGAGTAATTTCCACAGGAGATGCGGCGCCGAGTGTTGAGTTCTGCAACACACGCACTCTTTGCTAGGGAACAGAACTGATATAACTCTCCCAGCGGGAGTACACAGGAGAGCAAAGGAAAATCAGCAGAAGAGTGCTGTCAGTTTTAGGTCAGTAAGTCAGTTCGCAGAACACTGATGCGAACGGGCAGTACAGAAGGACTTCCGCCCAGCAGTTTGTATCCCCTGAGTCGTAAGCCGTCAGCGCACGGGTTGAGAAGAAAGTGAAGTTGGTGAAAGAAGTGAAAGAGAGATGGGAAGAAAGCGTGAGATAGGAGAAAAAGCGTTGGTAGGCGAACAATCCCTTGGTACAATAAGACGTGTCTGAAGGACGTGCCGAGTGGAGCGCGCAAGAAGAGAAGGGAAGGCGAGAGCTTGCCTTTGGATCTCGAAGGAGCTGCGGTTGTGGAGCTGGACCCGGAGCGCGGCTCAACTGTACTTCCGAACCCCAGAAGGCCAACTCTCCTGTTGCGCGCGTGTGGATGATCTGTCGATTATCTCTTGTCCAGATCGCCTCTTTTCGATTCTCCAATTCTCTCTTTTCTCTCGACTTTCCTGACTCACTCATACTACTTTTTCTCTTACTTCCATTCTCACTCCTTTCTTTCCGTTCTTACCAATTCTTCGCCACAATGTCTGAAACCCTCCAAGAGCTCGCCGACATCCCCAAGGACTTCCTCCGTGAGGGTACCCTCTTCGTCCGCAGATGCACCAAGCGTACGCCACACCACAGTCGCTCTGATTTCTCTAGCTCTAAACTGACTCAATGGTATACAGCCGACAAGCGCGAATTCATCAAGATCAGCCAGGCCGTCGGCATGGGCTTCCTTATCATGGTACGAGACACTCGATCTTCCATCTACGCATAAACGCCTTGTTTGTGAATAACGGTTCTGACTAAAATCCAGGGTGCCATTGGTTACTTCATTAAATTAAGTAAGTCGGTCGCATGTGCATTCAATCCTCGGGAGGAGCACCCAGTCTCCCAGGGGCATGAATGCAGGCAACAACCGATCGATAACTAACAGTGCTTAGTACACATTCCCGTCAACAACATCCTTGTCGGTGGCGCATAAGCTATGAGCGACATTAATCAACACTCGATAACCTACTACCTTAACTTGATGTGGGGATGGGATTCTGCATAAAGAAAAGGGGGAAGAATCCGTCCATGCTTGTATCCGATACCCGTTACTCTTACTGCGTTAAAACGAAATATATTGATGGGAGATGGAGGTGTTTAACTCATCTTTGACTTGATGACATGCCGTCAGTGCGTCATGGAGGTGGATTTTGCTGCATGAAACATTGTAGCGAGGTCTTTGATTCTGTATAAATAGCGTTTCCTGATTCTGTTCAGCATCCAGAGAGGATAACTTGAGAGATTTATCTAATTCTTTGAAATAGCTATTGAATGGGAGTCTAATTTCAATCTCATAAATCCTAATTTAAGCTTGGTATACAAAAAGGCTGCGCTCGCTCGCATTTTCGGCTCCGAAAGTAGACCATGCTAATCAAAAGAAATGCCGTTTCATAGATCACCATATTTCACCCGCGTACTCGTCATCTTCTAACCTCCGCCGATATACGGGTCGGCTTCGAAGGTGATGGATTGTTTCCTTGAACTGGTCATATTCGAGCACGGATTTCAGCCGGCAATCGTAATTTTTGGAGACCGGCGGAGTCCCCTCGTCCTCGGCGGCGCCGCCATTCCAAGAATGGACTGTGCAGGTGCCGGTCGAAAGGCCCCAGCCATTCCATGACGTTGCTACACACCATCGTTAGAATGTATACTTTCCGGTCTCTCACAGGACCAGACTTACCGGCTAGGACAGGGGCGTTGGGATGCCAGCTTGCGTCTCGGACACATGTTTGCCATGCCAAATCGCCAGCGCGGCTGCTGAAGTCATATGCACTATTGGTTACGTTGGGGTCTTGCGGTCGAGTGTCCACCGTTGCCTGACCGACGTCGATGGTTCCGGCAAGGGTTGCATCCAAGTTGTACACATAAACTTTGCCATCTTCACTTCCAGTATACACGTATCTGGAGTTCGTGCTGTCTGGCGGCGAGAAATGGCATCGTATTAAAGTTTTGAGGACCCGATGGCCTCGGAATGTGACCACGGAGCAATCGTGTGGGTGCGCCTCGTAGTAGTTTTCGGGGTATGGCTCGAACCTGTAATCGAAGCCGCTGGTGTAATCCTGGGCATCAATCGTATCGAACCGCGCTGTAGTCATCATCTTCCTTAGATCCCAGAGCTTCATGTTCTGGTCCTTGCCATTGGAAAGCACATATCGACCATCACCTTTGCTATCGACGTATGTCAGTCCTTCCGTATGTCCGATGAACACGCCGGCTTCACGCCCGTCACCCATTGAGCGTCTGTCCCACACTCGTAGCGTGCTATCATCGGACCCGGAGTAGAGAATGTGAGGGGAAGACTTGTCACCAAAACAAACAGCATTCACATCATCTTCGTGGTTGCGTAGGCGTAGGACTGACTGTCGGGTTTCGAGATCGTAGACAATAACCGAGTTATCTGACGTGCCGGCTACGATTTCACGGCCGTCGCCTGAAAACCGAACCGACCAGATCTATGACTCTCAGGTCAAGAACAACAAAAGAACATAGGACGGGTAGACACCTACACCAAATTGTCTTCCATGAGAGGATGAAAGATCTAGCACCGACGGCTCCGAGGAATCAAATGGATCTGTAGGAGCAAGACAAACAAGGTTCCGTATGGAAGTATACGCTAGAAATCTGTTGTCTGGACTCAGGGTGGCATCGGTGATGGTCCACTGACCAAAAGGGTAGGCCACGGTTTTGTAATACTTCCATTCGTACGGGTTAGACGTATCATACATCCTAACCCTGAAGTCCTGCGAACAGGAGAAGAAAAAGTTGCCATCATCGGAAAATTGTCCCGAGTAGCACCTTGAGTCGAAGTGAATGATCTTGTCGGCAACTGAACCAGGTATAAGACCCTATACGGACAGAACGTCAACATCGAGCATTTGATGTTACATGGCCAAGGACTCACTTGAGTTATCGCCTGCACCTCCTGCCTCGAACCAGACAGATCAATGCCTAGTTCCCGCCACATCGTCCTCGTCGCAAGACTTTTCCTCCTCTTTTTCAACTCATCCGTATAATATGAATTGCTTCCAAAGTCGCCAGAAGCCATCAACTTTGCCCCTTCTTCGCTGGGTACTTGGGGTGCCGGATCACCTCCACCCCGTCGTGCTCGTCGCCTAAATCCAAAAAAGCCAGCAAGCTCCTCGTCTTCATCTTCATCGTCGTCCATTTGGCCGCCAGCCCGACTATACTGAAGAATATGTCGCAGGCCGTTTGATGCTAGTAGATTCAACAACCGGGTGGCGGAAACTGCTAGCAATCAGTAGTGAGCAACCGTAATCAATGAGGATATGGAAAGATGAGCATGGTCGAAATACCTCGGGAATGCCTGCCACCGGCCTGACCCGCCGCTTCTCCAGACTGTTCCAAATTTCCTTCGTCCATGGAGAATTCAATATGTATATTACCGAGATGTAACTCAGGGTCTACGTCAAGTTGACCATCGGCAAAGTATTAGCATCTTGGGAGCAACTGGGCATGGCGGAACAACAATACCGAGATAATTTAGATGAACGCCGTAGAAGCCGTCCTCGTCGTCCTCGTCGATGAAATGGTCCTCATCCGGATGGGGTCTGTCCTCTGAATGTTCTGAAATTTCAGTCTCAGGTTCATAGTCCATATCATCTTCCTCATCCTCTTCAAGCCATTCTCTCGCCGGATGCCATATAGCGGGTGAATCTCTCGACGCCGGACGGTCGCCACTAGCGGGATGGGGGTCGGGGGAACTCATTATTGGGGAAAACTAGGAGGGGTTAGGGTTGGGGTATGGGTTGGCAGGATTGGCCGCAAGGGTCATATCATTAGGTACACTTGGCCAGCTTCCAATAGTAAGTACGAGGATAGACAACGGGCGTCAATTGACCGGCAGTTTGTCTCCGAATGGGATTCCCTTATCGATACGGTTATGTCATCCCGCGGCAGGTCTCCGCTCTTGCTTAACTCCTATCCCCGAGATGCTTATCTATGTCTATCCATGTTTGGAGGGTATGAAGGTTCACAAATATATGAAGCTACCAAGGAAAACCAGACTATTAGAACATGGTATCGTGACTTTCGTAAACATAACCCTTTTCATAGTCCATCGAACTCCCACAACCCTGATCCCGTTGTATCACTGCATCGTGTCGTTGATATCCGTCAATTTGTGTATATACCCGAAAGTTCGTACATCACATCACATAAAAGAAAATGTCAAAGAAAGGAAATATCGACAAGATAAACACCAGAAATCATCATCATTGGACAGATCACCATACGCTGCGGCTAGTCAGCATATACCTCTCTAGACATGTTTAACCGACTCACCCGAACTTCCTATATTCAGCAATGTGCTGTTCGAGCACTGTCGGGCTAATGGGAGTTTCCAGGTAGCTCGCCATAGATCCTACAAACGTCTTGACCTTCGGCCAAATCTCTTCTTCAGCTTTGTACACCGGTGTTGTAAACATCGAAGACTCAACATTTTCTATCAGGCCTGCAGAAAATGTGGAGATCATTTCCCGGAGCCACTGGGGCAGGAAATCGAGATCGGATGAGTCAAGGTCGCTGCTGGCCTCGATGAGGTCAGTGTCTTCAGACACTACAGTAGGATTCCTCGGGTTCCTATCTTCCAACTGCTTCGAGACTGGGAGTGTATGGGCGACAGATGCTTGTAATACAAGAATCCCAATGATGACTTGAAGCTTTCTTCGCAATTTAGAGCGCCTCTTGCGCGTCAGCTGGTCTTCGGCCGCACTGGGTGCATTTGTCAAAGGAGTCGAGCCCTGAGAAGACTGTCTGTCTTTGACGACACATGATGCATGGTAAAGGGTAAATCCTCCGCTAATTTCCAGAGCGGCAGGTTCAACTGTCAGGTCTGGGAGGGTTCTGTTAGTACTTATAGCGCAATGTTTGAAGTGGTAGGGAATGCAGATGCGTACATACCATGTAGAGGCAAAGTCACACTTCCATACGGCCCAAATGATAAAGTCCGAATTCGATAATGGTTGAAAGACACCGATTTCGATTGAATTATACAAAGACTCTCAGGCGTCTTCGCAAGGTGTGGGATGGCATGCTCAGCAGTCAATTCAGACGCTGCTACCTTCCGTGAATCAGGCTCATGCGCAACACTGGTATCTCCAATAATATTCTGTGTGTCGTATCGCACTTCAGAGAGTTCAATGTGAATGCCTTTTGACGAGTCAGAATGCCCAATCTTGCTGTAGATCTGCGGTGAGTGAACAGCTAGGGTCATCGCTGTAAAACGAGATCTGGTAGTATGAGGCTCCAAGGCACTTGAGAGAGCCTTTGTAGAATAGCTGGAGCCCGTGGCCTTGAAGATGGACTGCTCAGAAACCTGAAGTGCATACACCCTGTCGATAGCTGTCATAGCTGAGACCCACTGAGATGACTCATTGAACAAATAATCTCTGGATGTGCGACTGATTTCGATTGAACATGGATCACCTTTTGGCTTGAAAGCCTGGGACACTTGTTCTAAGGCCCAAGCAATCTTTGATGCTGAGCGATTCCGGTCTGACATGCCATTGCACGCAAAATCATAGTATTGGTCATAGTCTTCCAGGACCTTGGGCAATCCGTGCTGCTGGCTGGCTTTACCAGTGCATAAATGGCATCTATCCACAGTACCCTTCTGAAGCTTGCATTCCACGCAAGTCGTCATTAGATGGCCACATAACTTGCATTTCTCTGGAGGCAGATTCTGAGGCTCAGATGCAGGGCGTGCTTGAGACTTCTTGAGGGACAACTCTTTGAACGATGTCGCCTGGTGCGGGCTCTTGTCATTGCAAGATGTTGTTTGAGATGAGCCCCTCGGATTTTGTGCTTTTCTCCCACTGTGGTGACCCAAATTATCCTTAGGTGGAATATCCTGCGGGTTCCTTTCCAAAGTGGCATCAAGAAGCTGGTGGTGACTTGAGACACTGTTTGGTCCGAGACGGTTTATCTCGCTGCCTTTCTTCTCTGGATTATGAGAAAAAAATACAGGGTCTGGGGAAGCATCATCTCTATCTGGGACCGAGTTAAGGGAGTGTGGTAGTCTCTGCTCAACCTGTTGAGCAAAGCTGTTCTCCCTTGAGTAGCCGTTTCCATAGAAAGAGGATCCATATCCAGAGAAGTAGTTGCTTCCATTATTAGAATTGTCCCCACCTCCACTTGGAAAATGAGTTTGGGGTCCCTGTCCATTAAACGGGTTCCCAGAAGCGAAATTGCCATTGAATCCATCCCCACCACTCCCACTGTCCCCACTGTTTCTTCTGCTTTGAACTCCACTTGTTCCTGGGGAGCTACCGTGTATGCGACAATGCTCGGAGACACAGTTAAAGTAAGCCTCCCACGACTGTACAGACTTCTTGCACAGTGGACATTCTCTCGGTGGTCTGAATCTGGTATGCTTGATATTGTTCTTTCTGAGCCTGGCTGGTGGTGGGTGCCTATGTCTAAAATGATCCCAGACCTTGTCCCTCCTGCAGGTATGCCAGCCACAAACGGGGCAAAAAAATCTAGACCGAGGGGCGTGTTCAGTGGAGACGTGCCGACGGAAAGCCCCCTTCGAGGAGTACATTTTTCTTTTGTAAGGTTCACACAGCTGACAGGCATATCTGTCGTTGTTGCTGTTGGTGCTGTTAGTACTGTTGGGGGAGTTTATCTCGCAGTCAACCTCGTCTTGGATCATGGTTTCAAGGCAATTGAAGGTGTCTCTCACAAGAGACCTCATCTCAACCAGTTTATGAGAATGAGAAACGTTTCTGACGCTACTTTGAACGGTCGATTGGAGCCGGTGCAGGTCTGCTCTGACTTCATCGAGGGGGTCTGGAGAAGACACGCTCGGTGGACAATAAAGATGAGGGATCTGTGGAACACTTGTGCTAAGAGGTCTGTCTGCGGAAGGCACATGTCCAGTATCTATAGGCAATGTCGGCGATATGTCGTTGGCCGGGTAATCATATAGGTAGAAATCCGTATCAATCTCGGGCAGAGCAGTACCTCCAGGAAGGAGATCTGCACTGGTGCAGCTAGACGGCGACACCGGTGACGTGGCCGATGACTGATAGTTGGACTTGAGGTCGATGTTAGTACATTGGCATGGAGACGGAGCATTTCCGAGAGGGAACGTACTGAAGAGTTGGGATCCATAGAGGCGTTCGGCATCAGGTGGCCATCTTCTGATGTGGCATAGTAGCCTGTTTGACAGGGACCAACAAATGATAGCAGGTCATAGTATTCATTAGGGTATGAGCTACCCATCTTGAGGTAGGGTTGGCCAAGACAACGATATAGGAAGACCAGCAGCTTAAATCTTGCTTGGCACTATACAAAGGAAAGCGAAGGGAAGGGAAGGAATGAAGAAAACAAGAGAGCGGAAAGGGAATAGGAAGGGGGCTCAAATAAGAAATGGAACTATCAAGAAAGAATACAGAAGAAAGGGAGGGAAGAGAGAAAGGCGGGCTGTTGAACCAAAGATATTGTCCGTTGGTTGATGCCAACGGCACTAAAGTCCCGTCTGACCACAGTTGCAAATTTGGAGCGGAGAGTTTAATCCAATGGAACTTTTCACTATGACTCAAATTGAGTAGTAGAAAATGGAAAATTAAAGAGTTGGAAAGAAATAGGCAGGCCCCTGTGGAATTTTATAATCGAGGTAAGCAAGGTAGTCCGGTGCCCACAGGGCAAAATCGGGTTGCAATGGAATCGTCTACTAGTACTCGACTTTCATGGCGCCAACCACAATGCTGTATCGGCTTGTAACAGACTTTAGGTAAAGCTACCGGGTAGGAAGGTATCTCGATGATGTTCGAGGGTCAAGGACTCGGTATTTGAGTACCAGTACTCTTTCTTAACTACTCGTAATTCGGGAGGTCAGGACAAGTAAACCTAAGGCTACGTATGTACCGGTCTGAGCCATGTTATACCACACAGCGTGAACGAAACCTGGAATTTCCCCACGTGGCTGAGCAGTGACCTGGTTCAGGAGTACTGTATTGCTTGAAATCTAGATCATTGCCGGAGAATAAACAACTTCCGTCGTGCATCTTGACCCCATATTGCCCTGGTTCGTTTCTGTGGCTTTGTATGCAATTTGAATGGATTTTGGTCTCTATCCTAGCGTTGTAATACTGGATATATGCTCGTACTGAATTCAAGAGAATTAGAGAATAAACGACAGTATGAAAAAGTAAAAATAATAAAACAAGAATAAAAAATAATAATAAAAGAAGTGGGAAAAATAAAATAAAAAAATCAACTAACAGTGCAACTGAGGATGATGATAGTTGAAAAGGTTAATGGGAACAATGATTGAATGGAGTGGATCCCGGGGAACTATCAACAAACTACGGACTTAGCATCACCCGCGTTGTCTCCCGTTGCCGCAATCCATTGATGGGTGGGGCATGGTAATTTAGTCTCTTATGCGGACCCGTTCCTAACACAGTTCGTATGTACCAGTACGTACCTTCGAGCTTTTGAGTTCGTCTCCAGACACGTCTGTGGATGTATGTGGATGTACGAAGGATGTTTTGCACTTAATGCGGCTCTGTCACTTTAGTCACGCTTGCATTTTGACTTTTCCCACCCTTGTTGGTGATGCAGCTTCAACTTTCAAGAGACCGCCGTTGATCTAGATGAAACCCATTCAACTGATGAGGTCTATTCAAGACGCACCACGTTCAATTCACCGGGGTCACTTGAGTGTCGTCGCCACCCCCTCGTTTCAACCGTCATAGAAGTCAGCAAATTGAAAGGGAGAAACGAGAAGAGAGGAATCAGTGGTGAGGATAGCACGAGGCCCTTCCCGGAGGCGGTCAACTTCTTCTTGGCTACCTCTCTACGGAGTATACTATCATCTGCTATATCCTGACGATGGATCCGTGCACCGTTCACCACAATAACAAAAAGGGGGAGGGGTGGATGACGACGTTTACTCCTCTTTTTTTCCTTTTAAATTTTGATTTATTTTATGTTCAATTTTATTTATTTATTTATTTATTTAATTTTTTTTTTTTT